CATCAAGTTGGAATAACAGGCATAGATAAGGCACGCTCTGCAAAGTGAACAGGAAACGCTCTCTCCCAAGGTCACATTGCAGCTCTGAAGTGTCAAAATCACCCTTCTTGAGTGAGTGGCTCTGGCTAGTTGAAATTCTAACAGTTTAAGAGTGAAACATCCCACTCTTGCTTGCAGGATCTAAGTCACTTTGACACAGAAAAGCAGCTTCAATTAACAACCAGGGAGTAGAATTTCAGAGAAGGGGGTTTTTGCACATGACATTCCACAGCTATCTTGATTCTGTAGGGTCAGAGGAATAGGACTCTGGGTCCACTTGGCAGACCCTTTTTCACAAAGCTTTTTGTTTTGAGCCTATCAAATAGTGTTGTGTTTAAATTTCATCTAAACTCCACCCTTTTGTAGAACACTGTGTTTGGTGAGACATTCATGTTTCATCTTTGTGGTCTCTCTCATTCATGGGCAAAGGAATCTGATGTTATCAGACCATGCGTAGTTACTGGTGGTTTTAGGTTGACTGGGTTTGGGAAATAAAATGGTTTTAGTTATTAGAGCCTTCTTTCCTGTAGTAATTTCTTTACCCAAACTGACTTTATAATTAAAGATCTGGTTATTTATTCTTTCTCCAAAGCAAGTCTCATGGAAAAGTCAAGACTTTTAAGTGATTGTTTTAAAGTGGAGCTCCAGAGCTTAGCTACTCAACGAGGGACATCAGCACTTTTTAGCATAGGCATTTTGGGGGAGCTTGTTTGAAAGACAGAATATGGCACTCCCTGACTTGCTCCACCAGAACCTGCATTTTATTAAAATTCGGGTAATTGCATGCATAATAGAGTTTGAGAAGTGCAGCTCAATGGGGTCCTAGGAATTTCCATTGTGCTTCTATAGAAAACTCATAAGTGTGGAAGGGGGACACAAAGCTATTGGCCTTTTATTTATGAAAGCTACCCTCTAATATATTGCTTTGTGAGTTTTAATTTTCTATAAATGCTTTTTTCAAAGTAAGAAACACTTGAAAGCCACTATTTTAAGCCCTATTAATACTTCACTGTCAATGAGCTCCTGAGATTGTGAGGGAACAGATTTTGTCTGGGGTGGAGAGAGGAAGGAAGAATCCCACCGAGGAGAAGCTGGGAACCTGAACACAGTTTCCCATCCCACTGCATCATTTGTCCATCAGGACTGAGATGGCTGCTGACAGGCACTGTTGGTTCCTGTAGGCTACATGTTTCTTGGGTTCTAGGATGAGTCTAAATAACAGAATTGGGAGCATGGGTCTATCAGAGGCCAACTTATCTGAGAACCAAGAAACTTCCTAGGATAATTTCTTGAGAGAAGAAGAAGCCAGGGAGATTCGTTTGACCAGGAAGAAAGCCTTGGTCAGCAGAAAGGAGTAGTGGCTTTGAGACCATCCTATGACTGTGAGAACAGCATGGTGGGTGTCAATGGAATAAATTTCCTAAGCCCATAGAAGAGGATGGAGATAGAATGTATCTAAAATGATCTTTGGGTAATTATCAGGACATATCTGAGTGTAACATAAAAGGAAGAGAAGCACTTCACACCTACCGTTGCACGGCTGTGGATTGTTCACCCACTCGGCACCTGAGAAGTTCACCTTTGCGGTAATGCTCAGCTGGGGACCAGCAGGGCCACCTGGGCAGACTTACTGGGTCTGGTAGGAAAGCGGCAAAGACTGGAGACCAAAGTGAGCATCAAAGTGAGGAAGGACCCATGGCCAGCAGCTGTGAAGCTTTTTATTAAGCACACAGGAAACATCCTCTGGGGGCTCAGGAAATTGCGGTGAAGGGAACAGTCTTCTAAAAGGGTGTATGAGCAGAGAGGTCTTGTGTGGAAGCCGGAGTCTGTGGAACTTTAGTTAATGTGTCCATGGAACCGCACTGTATCAACAAGCAGATGAGGAAAGGAAAATTTAACAAGAGACCTTTTTTAAGCTCAAAATGTAAACCCCCTCTCACACCCTTTCTCCTTTCTCAGCTCCGTTTAAATAGATGCATCATAAGCCAAGTTCTCCTGGGTACATATTCTTTGCAAAAGTTGACTTGACTTTACAGCTAAGAAACAGGGACTTCCTGCACTTGGAGAGAGCACCCTGAAGTGTATATTCTCCTAGATTCTCCCAATGTTGTCAGTGTTTCTCCAAGGAATACAAGAAACAGAAAATACGGCCTTGTGTTTTCTGAGCCTCATCACCACCTAAGAGTGCTCTGCATGTGCATGGCCCTTGTCCACCATTCGATGGGGGTCACAACCAGTTATAATTTCATTTCATTCTTTCCAAACATGTTTTAATAACTGCCATGCCCTGGGGAAAACAAAAATAGCGAAGATGTGCTGCTTATTGTCAAAGCTTAAATAAAAGTCTCAGAGTCCATAATCTTAGAGTCCAATGAGAAAAGGATTACCAGTTCTAAATATTTTCTGGCTTTTCCCCATGCCAAAATAGAAACCCGTCTGCAGGCACCTTTTTTTCCCTTAAAATGGAAGACTGCAATTTAATAATAGCTGAGCACTAGTGTTGAGGCAAAAGATTTTCTCAATTATTTCTCAGTAAAACCACAGGGGTTCAAGCTTACACTTCCTTATGAGGAAAACTAGTGCAAGCCGAGAAGGAGGCTCTGCCCCCAGGTGCTCGGCACCTGGCGGCCCTGGGCCCCCCGCACCTCCTCCCTGTTCCAGTCACTGAGGGCACCAACTCCCACTTTTTAAAATATAATGTGGTTTTACTGTGGTTTACCTTTGCTTAAAAGCTCGAGATGGTTCCAGGAACATTCCTATCCTCTAGACTGAAGGAAGAATATGGTAAAAGGTGTCCAGCTACATTCAGACTCACTTCTTGCCCCTTACTTCCAGTGTGGCCATTATTATGACTCCTACCTAAGGATGCCTATCGGATCATATGCTCAGGGAGCCAATGTTGAAAGTTTCCGGTGCAATATAAGTTAGCCACAGTATTATTTTTCACTTAAAAAGAAACATTTCCTCCAATTTCCAATGACATTTTCACCCCTTCAATCTAAGTTTCACCGTTTTTACCCTGTGTGAAGTAGACGCTTCTTGACTTAAGGGATCTGTTTTACTTTATGAGGTCAGCCTTTCCTGTTGAGAAAAAGCAGTTTTATCTGAAGTCCTGGAAGCAAGGGAAGGAAGAAGGGGTGGAGCCTCTGCTTTTTTGCTGATTTAGGGCTACGGATAGAACATGGTAGCCGAGCTTGTACATAGTATACATGGTGACAGGGAATGGGGCAGGGAGAGAGGTGGAACTACTCTTGTATACATGACCAAACCGTTTCCAATCATACTTACTGTAGAAATTGTCTTTTTCTTCTTGGGTTTTCAGGAATAACTGTTCAAAGAGTTTGGCTACAGATATTACATTGTAAAGGTCACTGAGAACAAATTTGTTTGTTTAGAGGATGAAATGTTAGCTCTAGTGAGAAATTATCAAAGACGTGCTTCATCCATTTTTAAAAATTTTGTTATCATTAATCTACAATTACATGCAGAACATTATGTTTACTAGGCTCCCCCCTTCACCAAA